TTACAATTCAATGTCAGAAAGCCAATTCAGAAGCACTATTATACAGCTACTGGTGGCTCTAGAAAAAAGCATTAAGGAGTCACGAGACTTCATGACTGCAGAATTTAGATCCAATCAGGCAGAAATTAAAAATCAATTCAATGAGATGCAATCCAAACTAGAAGTCCTAACGACGAGGGTTAACGAGGTGGAAGAACGAGTGAGTGACATAGAAGACAAGTTAATGGCAAAGAGGGAAACTGAGGAAAAAAGAGACAGACAATTAAAAGACCATGAAGACAGATTAAGGGAAATAAATGACAGCCTAAGGAAGAAAAACCTACGTTTAATTGGGGTTCCCGAGGGCGCCGAAAGGGACAGAGGGCCAGAATATGTATTTGAACAAATCCTAGCTGAAAACTTTCCCAATCTGGGAAGGGAAACAGGCATTCAGATCCAGGAAATAGAGAGATCCCCCCCTAAAATCAATAAAAACCATTCAACACCTCGACATCTAATAGTGAAGCTTGCAAATTCCAAAGATAAAGAGAAGATCCTTAAAGCAGCAAGAGACAAGAAGTCCCTGATTTTCATGGGGAGGAATATTAGGGTAACAGCAGACCTCTCCACAGAGACGTGGCAGGCCAGAAAGGGCTGGCAGGATATATTCAGGGTCCTAAATGAGAAGAACATGCAACCGAGAAGTAAGGACACATTGAAAGTGAAGGAATGAAAAAAGATATTCCAGGTAAATGGAAACCAAAAGAAAGCTGGTATAGTTACACTTATATCAGACAAAAAAGACTTTAAAACAAAAGACTATAATAAAGACAAAAAAAGGCATTCCATAATGATAAAGGGGTCAGTCCAATAAGAGTATGATATAGCATTTGTAAAATATTTATGTACCCAACATTGGAGTACCTAAATATGGAAGCAAATATAATCAGACCTAAAGGGAGAAATAGCAATTTGGTAATAGTAAGGGGACTCTGATAACCCACTTTCACCAATGGACAGATCATCCAGACAGTCAATTAGGAAATACCAACCTTAAATGACACACTAGACCAGATGGACTTAACAGCTATATACAGAATATTCCATCCCAAAACAAAGGAATATACATTCTTTTTCAGTCACTCATAAAACATTCTCCAGGATGGATCATTATGTGAGGTCACAAGTCTTAATAAAATTAAGGAAATCCCTGGGTGGCTCAGCGGTTTGGCACCTGCCTTCGGCCCACAGCGTGATACTGGGGTCCTGGGATCCAGTCCCGCATTGGGCTTCATGTGGAGCCTGCTTCTCCCTCTACCTGCGTCTCTGCCTCTCTCTCTCTCTCGATGTGTCTCTCATGAATAAATTAAAAAAAAACACAAGTCTTAATAAATTTAAGATGACTGAAATGAAATTAAACATCTCTTCCCAATTACAAGAAGAAAATAAGAAAAGTCACAAATACGTGGAGACTAAATAACATGCTACTAAACAACCATGGGTAAAAGAAGACGTCACAAGAGAAATCAAGAAATACTTTCAGAAGAATGAAAATGGAAATACAACATACTGAAGCTTATGGGATGCGGGCAAAGTAGTTCCCAGAGGGAAGTTCATAGTGACAAATGCATGTCTACGTATCAGGAAACATCTCAGATAAACAATCTAAATTTACACCTGAAGGAACTAGGAAAAGGGCAACAAATAAAGCTCAAAATTAGTAGAAGAAAGGAACAGATCAGAGTGGAAATAAAAAACAAAAATTAAGACACAAAACAAAAAAATAGATCAATGAAACTAAGAATTGGTTCTTTGAAAAGATAAACAAAATTGACAAAGCTTTAGCTAGACTCACCAAGAAAAAGAGAAGATTCAAAATCAGAAATGAAAAAGCAGACATTATAACTGATACCAGAGAAATACAGAGGATCTTGAGACTACTATAAAGAATTACACATCAACAAACTGTGCAGAAGAAGAAATGCATAAACCCCATAAACATACAACTTGCCAAGACTGAATCATGATTATGAGACTGGCATGCCACCTCCTGTGCTAAGTCAGTAAGACTGAATCATGAAGAAACCGAAAATCTGAAAATCTGAACAAACTAGTAAGGAAATGGTTGGGAGGTTTGTGATTACTGATTCAAAAAAAAACCCAGGAACAGAGGACTTTACTGGTGAATGCTACCGAACATTCAAAGAAAACCCTTTTAAAACTCTTCCCAAAAAAGGAAAAGCAGCAAAAGAACACTTTGAAGCTCATTTTATGAGGCTAGCATTACTCACCTGGATACCAAAACTAGATAGGGACACCACAAGAAAAAAAAAAAATCACAGGCCAATATCCCTGATGAACATAGATATAAAAAACTTCAACAAAATATGAGCAAACCAAATTCAACAAAACATTAAAAGGACCATATACTATGATTAAGTGGGATTTGTCTCAGGGATATAAAGATGGTTCAAAAAAAAAAAATAAAGATGGTTCAACATCCGCAAATCAATTAATGTGATACAGCACACTGATGAAATGAAGGATAAAAATCATATAATCAACTCAGTAGATGCAGAAAAAGCATTTGACAAAAAGCAACATCCATTTATGACAAAAAAAATCTCAAAAAGTGGGTATAGCGGGGATATACTTAAACCTAATAAAGGTCATGTATGACAAGCCCGTAACTGACATCATACTCCATGGTGAAAGCTGAGAGCTTTCCTCTAAGGTCAGGAACAAGACAAGGATACACACCCTCACTACTTTCATTCAACAAAGTATTAGAAGTCCTAGCCAGAGCATTAGACAAGGGAAAAGAGGCATCCAAATATGATGCAAAACTCACTATTTGCAGATGGCATGATATTATATTAGAGAACCCTGAACCAAAAAACTCTAAGAATTAATAAAGTAATTCAGTGAAGTTGCAAGATACCAAATCAATTCACACAAATCTGTTGCACTTTCATACACTAATAACAAAATATCAGAATGAGAAATTAACAATCCCACTCATAAGTCTATCAAAAGGAATAAAATACCTAGGAATAACTTTAACCCGTACACTCTAAGACACTGATAAAAGAAACTGAAGACACAAATAAATGGAAAGATGTTCCATGCTCATAAAACAACTAATATTGTTAGAATGTTCATACTACCCAAAGCAATCTACAGATTCAGTGCAATCCCTACTAAAATTTTAATGCATTTTCCACAGAAGTAGAACAAGCAATCCTAAGATTGTAATTACAAGAGATTCTGAATAGCCGAAGCTAATCCTGGGCAAAAAACAAAGCTGGAGGTATCACACTTCCTGATTTCAAACTACATTACAAGGCTATAGTAATGAAAACAATATGTTATTGGCATAAAAACAGACACATCAATGGAACAGAGAGCCTAGAAATGAACATATGCATATGTGGTCAATTAATTTATGACAAGGGAGCCAAGAATATACAATAGGGAAAGGACAGTCTTTAATAAACAGTGTTGGGAAAATTGGGGACAGACACATGAAAAAGAATGAAACCAGAGCACTATTTTACACCAATCCACAAAAGTTAACTCATTATGAAAAAAAAAAAAAAAGGTTAACTTCTTATGGATAAAAGACATGATCGTAAGTCCTGAAACTGTGAAACTTCCAGAAGAAAACATAGGCAGTAAGCTCTCTGACATCAGTTTTGATGATAATCTTTTGGATTTGACACTAAAAGCAAAGGTAACAAAGGCAAAAACAAACAAGTAGACGACATGCAAATGAAAAAATTTCTGTGGAACAAAGACAACCATTAACAAAATGAAAAGGCAACCTATGGACTGGCAGAAAATATTTGAAAATCAGGTCTGATCAGGGGTAATATTCATAATATATAAAGAATTCCTACAACTCAATAACCAAAAAACAAACCAATTAGAAAATGGGCAGAGAATCTAAATAGACATTTTCCAAAGAAAACATACAGATGGCCAACAGAGGTAAATGGAATAGCTTCTCAGCATCATTAATCATCAGGGAATTGCAAATCAAAACCACAGTGAGATACAACTTCATACTTGTTAGAGTACCTATTATCCAAAAGGGAAGACACAAACATTGGTGGTAGAGAAAAGGGAGCCCTCGTGCATGGTTAATGGGAATGTACATCAGTGTAGCCGCTGTGGAAAACAGTATAGAGGTTTCTCAAAAACAGAGCTACCATATGATCCAGAAATTCCACTCTAGGTATTTATCTGAAGAAAACAAAAACATTCTTGAAAAAAAAAATGTATCCCCATGTTCACTGCACAATTATTTACAATGGCCAAGATACGGACACAACCTAAGTGTCTACTGATGGATGGATGATATATATAATGGAATATTACTCAGTCTGAAAAAATGAAATCTTCCCACTTGCAACAACATGGATGGAACTTGAGGGCCCTAGGCTGACTGAAATAAAAGAAAGACAAATAAGTCACAGGGCTTACTGTAATGTACAGCATGGTGACTACAGTAATAATTACCACATATTTAGAAGGTGCTAAGAATGAGCTTTGTGCAGTGGTAGTATCGTAGTCAATGAGGGTTATCCGAGGCACGATTATTGCTAATAGAAGGTGCTAAGAATGAATCTTAAAAGTTCTCATCACAAAAAAAAAGACTTTGCAACTATGCAAGGTGACGAGTATTAACTAGACACTGTGGTGACCATTTCACAACAGATACAAACATCGAATCATTATGTTGTACATCTGAAACTAATATAATGTTGTAAGTTAGTTACATCTTGATAAAAAATAGAACAAGCATCCCAGATGACTCTTCTGGTCTGGTGAGGCTGAGTGCCTATACCCCATGGTCTAGGACTTCAGGTGCCAGGCTGATAGAGGGAGGTTGGTGAGCTGAGAATTGGAACAGGCAGGCCACACCCTCCTCCAGGCACCACTCTGTCAGCACACGGAGTGGCCATTCTCTTTGGGGACTGGCCTCTGTCTGCAGGGCTGCGGTGGGAACACAAACTTACCATGCAACGACTTCATTCCCAAGGTGTAAGAAGGCCTCCGCAATGGGAGAGACTTGGGAAGAGAAGGGTATGTGCTACTGAAGAGGACGTCGTTGGGCAGGGCTTGGTCCAGAAGTGAAGCCCTGGAGGTGAAGAAGTGCTCCCTCTGGCCACTGTATATGCTCTCATCTGACAGAGTTCGGTGCAGGGCCCGTCTTGAGGTGGGGGTGGGAGGAAATGGAGACTGAGGAGAGGAGAGTGCATGGAACTGTAAAACAGAGTCAAGACAACAAAGTTAGTCTCCTGGGCCACACCCCCAGGTCCTGGGTTGGGGGGGTGGGGGTGGAAATGGGCTGACAAAACTCACTGCTCCTTTCAAATCCTGGAGCTTGGCAAGGAAGCCTCCAGGCTTCAGAGTCTCTATCTACACATCCTTCAGAGCAGAGGTGGGAGTTCCTTTATCCTTGTGGCTCAACATGCTGCCTGTAGCCTGTCGGTGCCACACGATTCAGATGTGAGAGTAAGTAGATAGAGCAGGACCATGTTGTGGTAAGAGAAGATGACAATCAGACAAATAGGAGTTTTATCTGAATCATGTGCCACTGACCGAATCTGAGCCCAATATGTTTCAGGATTATTATGAGGATTAAATGAGCCACTGGACTAATCACAACAGCGTTTGTCAGTGGTCCCCAGGGGAATAGCCACAGTGCCCGGAGGGTGTCCTGAGAAGCGTAGCAAGTGATGCCATATTTGCTGGGCAATGAGCAAAAGATCATCAGAACAGATTAACTCTAGTAAGTAGATGCCTCTTGATAAACATCAACTACTAATAGTGTATTTAATGAGTTTCAGATTTTTTTTTTAGGATGGATCTCTATTCATTAAAATAGGGAAGCCGTCTTAGTGACAAATATTTATACACTGATATATAAACGGCAGAAGTTCTAAATAGCTGCTATCTCTTGTCTTTTGCCTTGCTTACCAATTTGATTCTACATGAGATTCTTCTGCAAAAAGCAAGCTCGACTTCCATGCATTGAGAAACAACAGACACATTAACAATATTTAAAATCTCCAGTCTGAGAGCCAAAAGAGTATTTGGTCTGTTAGCAATAAAGTTATATTCATTCCTCCTTAGATTAGTGTTCACCTTGACAGGGAGAACAATGTGGAGGACAGGTGAAGATGTGAGTAGGAGGGCTGAGTCATAGCTGGCAGAAAGCCTCTGTGGGACTTTCCGTGACACTCTGGAGGGGCAGAGAGATAGTGACACAGCCACGTCTCCATTTAGGACCTTGAGAACAGCACTGACACCTGGCTCATTCATGTGCTCTGGGTCTAACATGCTTCTGTTCCTCAACCCAAGAGTTAATTAAGCCAAAGCTACCCACAAAGTGGTGTGCACAGTTGCTGCAATTATCGATCAAACGTGTTGTAAATGAGCCCCAGGTGTAGCCAACTGTGTAAAATTGTGCTCCCTTCTAAAAATTCATGAGTAAGTGGAAGGTACATATATGCTTGCCCGGAAGATGAAGCTGCTGTGATAAATGCTCTGTGCCTTTAAATGCAGAGAACTGGGTATGGAAACAGTGATTTCTCTTTTCACCTCATAGATAATGGGCATTACAGAGGTTAAATGGCTTGCTGATTATAATTTTAAAAAATATAGCCAGATTCACTCTCTCCTATCTGCAAGCTTCTAGGACCACATTAAGGCTCCTGCCTACCGGGCCAGGCCCCAGATCTCTCCATTCAAACACTGCTCCCGATCTTCTTTGGCACCTCTGAGCTCAGCAAAGGGACATCCTTTTCTAGGGAGTATCCTCACCCTGATGGTTATATGGGAAGGTGGTTTTCCACCAATTCTAGTTTTAGCCTCTTTGGGAAATATTAAAATATTTAATCGAGGCATTGAACTGCTACCTTGAAGAGATCCTTTAGGCAGCATGCTTTATTAAAAGTTTTAACATCTTGCGCTAAAGGGAAACAGGGTAGGAGACAGAAGGTAGCAATCGGCCTTATTGCTTTCCACCCATTAACAAGCAGTTTTGTCCCAAGTTATTGGGGTGGCCCCCCACTCTGTCCCTCTTCCACTCCAGTCTTGAAGGTAGGCACACTGGTCTAGTTCCAGGAGCGCCCTGTCCCTGCTATGCAGGGTGCTTGCTGGGTGGTGCCCAGTGCTGCCAGCCCTGGGCAAGAACCACGATGGAGTCAACAGCTGGCTTGGAAGGGACCTGAGAGCACATTAGGCCGGGGGGTTCTCAGCTCTATGGGTTCTTCCCAGCATCCTGCCTGGGGAGAAGGGACGTTCAGCAGGGGCCCAGGCATCCAGGACACCCACCCCTCTCTTCAGAGAAATTCTGCTTTCTCAGTTCTACGTATGGGACTTCTGTGTATAATTTCATTTAAAAAGTTCCCTGAATTTTAAAATCATCTGGACGTCACTGATCTACTCTGGGTCTCTTTTTCAAAGCTGAGGAACAAGGCCTAGGGAAGTGATATTTTCGCTCCCTGAGGCCAGTCGTCCTGGCTTCCGGGAGGTGGGTAAGGCACCTGCAGTAAGCAGGACGGCTCTGCCTGAACCCTGGAGCTGCACGAAGCCTCTCCCTTTGGTCTCTGCCTGAGACATCCAGCTGCAAAGCACGAGCAGTAGTTTGCTCTGTTCACCTGCCGCTGGACATAGCCCTCAGGGAAGATAAGGTGATCCCTTCTCTGCCTGCCGATGGGGTTCCTTAGAATGTGAGAGCTCCGCCATTTCCCTTGAGGCAGGAGCTCTGCGGCCACTGCTTAGGCCCTGCAGCCACCTACCTCTGAGCCACAGGCCTGCCCTGCAGAGCCTGCCATGTCCTGCAGCAGATAGCTCGCTCTGCTGGCAAGTAAGCCGGAGAGGGACGTGGTCATTTGATATTAATGATAACTCATAGGAAGCACTTGTTATCCAAGAAAGCCAATGAGTTCCAAGTGTCACAGCCCAAAGCTGGCCACTGCTGGGATCCTGACACCTGATGCAGTGGCTCGGTGCCTTGAGCCAGGCACAGCCTGGAAGATTCTCAAGGGCATGCTGGCCTTCCTGACACAGCACAGCCATGGGCATTCTGACGGAGAATCTCAAAGACACACAGAGCTACTTAGCTAAACTCATCTGAAACCAAGCTGGAAAGGAGGATACTAGAGAAAAAAACAGCCTTGTTTCCAGGCCCTGCTTCCAGTCTTGCCCAGTAACAGAGTAGCCTCTGCTTTCTTTGCAGAGGGTCTCGTCGTAATGCCGTCATGGCATAAAGAAAGCGCACCCCTGCTTCAACTAGGAATATTAAAATAATTCATTTTGGAAATAAAAGCCAAGAACTGGAATAAGGACAAAACAGACATTTGCTTTCAATTATTTCCACTGCATCAGTAAATCAAAAGAATGAAAGCTCTGAGTTTGCCCCTTTCCAAAAATGTTAAAACTGAGAATTGGGGGAAGACTCCTTTCAGGGCAAGTTTTATTCTCCTCTAACCTCAAAGGAAAAAAAATCTGAAAAAAATTTTATTTTGAAACTGGTACTTGAACGTTTTAATACACCTCTGTGGGTTCTGATGGATAGAGAAGTTTCAAGGACTATCTTTTGCGAGGTTACTAAGGAAACCATTTATACCCTGGATGATGCTTCAGAACTGGTAAGTGCTGGCTTAGGAAACAAAAATCACAGAAATCAAGAATGGCAAGTCTTTAAAATGATTTATGATGTTAATGTTTATGTTAATAAACCTTTTGTTTCTCAGCAGAACCCCAGAATGGCCTTTGGAGTACATTTAATTTCTGTAAATGCTGATCTTTCAAGGTTAGGGTGTCTATCTGACCCTTGAGGAAGGCATGCACATACACCCCAGAGTGGTGATGAGAAAGCGTGAATGGGAATGGACAAGGGCACACAGCTCATCCCACTAGGTTTGCCCCCTGCATTCTGATTCCAGTTTGAGGACAGCAAGTGGTGAGGGAAATACTTCAGCTTACCTTTTCAATCAAATGCCAGAGTTCTTCTTAAATTACACTCTTTAGTAACTTTAAACAGACTACCCAGTCGTTCAACTAAGAGCCTGGACAAGAGAACATGTCCAAGTTTGCTGCCCTGACCTTCCTGGGGGTACAGTCCCTCCTCCTAGGGCTACACAACACACTGCATGTAGAATGCCTTGTGCTCAGAGCACAGTACCTTCGGGCCCCACCCAACAAACACCAGTTCTGAGCCCTGGGAGGGCAAGACTGGACACTTTCAGGACAAGAAAGCAAAGAGCCTTAAAAGTACCAGCTTCAGGGGTCCTCTGAGCTGAGGTGGGAAAAACAAATTCTTCCACAGGGTCTTGCAAAGTTCTGGCTACTGACACACAAACGTAAACCCTGAATATGTGCTCGATGGGAAGGGAGGCTCGGTTTAAAGAAGACACTTCTAGTCTGAAATTCCGTGAGGCAAGTGGAGAGAAGGTTCTGTGAAGCAAAGAGTCTAGAAAGTTCTGAAGGTAAGTATGTAGACCTAGTTTTCTGGGCTGAAGAGGTGGCTTTTGGGGATGAAGGGTGAAGAGAGTGGGTGTCCATCGGGCTATTTCCCTGAGAGACTGCACAGGATGTGGTGCACAGCTGGTAGGCTCGCCCAGCGGGGCTCAGGGGGCAGAGGCGGGGCCTCAGTGAGGAGGTGAATTGGGGGCTCCTGGTACCGGGAGGGACCCTTCGGATAGAAGGCACTTTTTTACAGAAAACTTTCTGATGAGGGAACCACGGATGCCTCTGCAAAGTTCTCAGAAGCAATGTCATCGAGTTAACGTCCGTGAAAAAGCATGGCTCATGCAGTGGAGCAGGGTACACTGAAGAAGATACGAGACTGGCGGCAGGGACAGGCAGATATAGAGCTGGCCTAAGGTGTGAGAGCGGGGACAGAACACTTGGAAAACACTGAGCTAACTTTGGGGAGCAGGTGGTGGCAAGAGCCTGGAGTCTACACCTCCCGGAGGGCACCGCTGCGGTGAGCAGCTCCACCCCGTCTGGCCTCCCGAACGCGCTGGGCTCTGCCTCGTATGTACCTTAAAGTTCTTCTGGGATTCGGGGGTGGGGCTTTCCAGGTCGATGAGTTTCTTGAGGTCCTCCTCGATGGTGGACTTGGAGGCCGGCTTGGGGGACGCCCGGAGGTCCCTGGTCGAGGCGCGCAGCCTCGTGTGCGCTATCTCGTTGCCGTCACTCTGATGGCGCCTTGAAAGGAAGGGAAGAGATGGGAGAGACCAACAGACACGGGTGACATAAGGGCACGATGGACCTTGAGGCTGTAAGTCAGGGGGGAAATACCAAAGGAGGGCAAAGGCCAATCTGTTCACATAAATGCTCGTGCAAGAGACACAACTGATGGGAAACAAAAAATAAAAAAGCTGATGGATAAATTGCCCTTCTACAGGAAACTATTAGCTCCACTAAGCCAAAATTAGCAAGACTTATTAGTAAGAACACAGGCTATGAATCCCAAATGTAACTTTTGTACAAACACAAACAACATAATTGAATGAATCATTTAGAGGTGTTTTTGCTTTTTTCTGTACTATTTTGTCAAAAAGTTCTTTATATTTACGGCAGTCACTTTCTAGCACTCCCTCTGGTGGCTCCTGAGTTACCAATTACATGGGAAGGCTGTGATTAATATCATCCAAGGGAGCGTGTTGTCTTTGGGCCTGAGGGTCAATTATTCTGAGGTTTGTTCTTCAGACATAATCTTTCCTATGAGATCTGAGATTCTCAAATCAGTGTTTTGCCACACAACTTATTAAGGAATGAAGCAGAGAAATAACGGGAGGAAAAAGCCCCTCTCCCTACCAAACCCCAGCTGGACTCCTCTGGGGTAGGAAACTGCCTCAACCTTTTCTGTTCTCCGTCACATTAAAAGCAAACCACCCAGCAAGAGAAGCAAAAGAATTCTTACTTTCTCGTGTCCATAAATCCCACGGAGTTTATGGTTCCTTCGGGTTTTTTCCACCCAATCAGGTACTTGCTGGTCGCGCCCTGGCGAGGGTAGAAGGTCCTAGGGCCGGACGAAGAAGAGGAGGAGGACGAGGAGGGGAAGGAAGGTGCGAGCTGTGATGTGGCAGGATGAAGCTCTTCTTTAGGGGAACTTCTGGCACTGGTGAAGACCACCGGGCTGGCAGAGTGTCGGGAGCTCATGGTACTGAGGAGAAGCATGACAAAGACAGAAGAACCCCAGTGTGCACGTGTGCATCCCCGGGGTCCGCACGATGGCTGCAAAAGTGTCGTCCAGGACAGGGGTTATGGCCAGGTTAAAGAACAATGACTATTTCATAAAATATTAATGGCATGGGCTGACTAGTCTTTTTTGTTTTCTCGCAATAATTTAAATGTCTGCTGTAAAAATGAAACATGGTCACTGGGGCTTTGTCTGCACTTTAAATTAAAAGGTAAAAATAGCTGGGACTGTCAGGGATGCTCTGAAACATGCTGGCACACCGGAGTTTGTTACGGTGGTCTAGAAGAGACAGGGAACAGGAGAATTGGCAATAAAATGTCTGGCAGTCTCAGTGGCTGTCTGCCTTGCCTTCCTCAGAACTAAGGGTCATGATGATGGCTCCCCAGGTCAGAGCTGGATCAGCATACAGTTCTCCAAACACCCACATCCAAGGCCAAAGGGGCCCACAGACGTCTCCTTCGCCATGGTGTCTGGCATAAAGAAGGATTCTCTAAAAAGCTGTTCAATAGAATGAAAATGGGCCACTATCCTACACCATATGCAAAAAACGACTCAAAATGGATTAAAGACTTGAACATAAGACCTGAAACCATAAAACTCCTAGAGGAAATCACAGGGGGTAAGCTCCTTGACATCAATCTCGGCAATGATGTTTCTGGACTTGACACTAATAGCAAGGCAACAAAAGCAAAAATAATTTGAGGACTACCTCAAATTAAGGAGCTGTCCAGCAAAGGAAACCATCAACAAAGTGAAAGGCAACCTAGTGAATAAGAGAAAATACTTATAAATCGTATACCTGATAAGGGCACAAAATCCAAAATATTTAAAGAACTCCTGTAACTCAATAGAAAAAAATTTCAATAGAAAAAAAAAATCAGACTAAAAATTGGCCATAGAAACTGAATAACTATTTTTCCAAAGAAGATATACAGATGGCTAATGGGAACATGAAATGATGCTCAACCTCACTAATTATCTGGGAAATGCAAATCTAAAACACAATGAATTATCACTCACACCTGTCAGAATGGTTGTTATCAAAAAGACAAGAGATAACAGGTGTTCACAAGGATGTGGCAAAAAGGGAGCCCTTCTGTACCATTGGCAGGAATGTAAATTGGTGTAGCCATGGTGGAAAACAATACGAAGGTTCCTCAAAAAATTAAAAATAGAACTACCATATGATCCAGAAATTCCACTTCTGGGTATTGATCTAAAGAAAGTGAAAATACTAATCTGAAATTATCTACACTCCCTTCCATGATCAGTGCAGCATTATTTACAATAGCCAAGCTGTGGAAACAACCTAAGTGTGGACAAATGGATAAAGAAAATGTAGTATACATATACAATAAAATATTATGCAGCCAATAAAAAAAGCAAATGCAAATTCTGCCACTTGCAACATGGACCTGGAGGACATTATGCTAACTGAAATAAATCAAATACTGTATAATGTCACTGTATGCCATCCAAAAAAAAAAAAAAAACTGAGCTCACAGATACAGAGACTAGACTGGTGGTTGCCACTGGTGGGGGGAGGGGTGTAGGGGGAGGGATGTGGAGGGTGGAGGATGGAGGAACTGGGCCAAAAGCTACAAACGTCCACATAGAAGAGGAGTCCCGGGGATGAAATGTACAGCACGCTGACTAAATATTAAAGTACAAAGCTGTTCATCATCAATGCATTTTAAACTTTGCTTCAAGATTACAAAATTAAAGTCTAAGGGACTCAAGGAGAAGGCTACTCTCACACATTACAACTCAGGAGTTTTAGGCCTGGGGCTGAGAGTTCAGGTGGTCCACAATGCTGGAGGCCCTTCAGTGGTAGAATTTCCACACATCCCTCCCCATGACCTCACAGGATCCGAGTCCACACGTGAGCCCCGCTCAGTTCTCCAGTTTAGGCTGAGACCAGAGACACTGGCTCCTATGACAGGGGACTTTGTCCCTGAAGGTTTAGTTACCAGCATGTGGTCTCATGGCATTTGCCAGCAGAACGTTGTTTGTCAAAAACCAATGGTCCTGATGGAATAAAGTATGGATTTTACTTAGTGGTGATGCATTAGCTACGACAAATGTACATAGACAAAGGGTGAGGGGTACGTGGGAACTCTCTGTACTGCCTTGTAACTTTTCTGCAAATCAAAAACTATTCTAAAATAAAAACAATTTTTTATTAGGGAAAAAAATGAATGAACAAAACAAAAATCAAAAACCACCCAAATCGTAGTGGTACTGAGAGAGCACACACAGATGAGAGTCAGTCTTGAACCCCCACCTACAACCTTACCGAAAAATCAATTCCAGTTGGCTTGTATATTTATATGCAGATCTAAAGATTCTGGGCCATCCCATGAGAACATCTTTATGATAGAGGCAGAGGTTTCTTTAATAGGATCATAAAGGAAAGGATTGAACCCCACTGAAAGTAAGAACTTCTATTCCTCAGAAGACATGGAGAAGAATAGATGTAAACCATGTACCCAACAGTGGGCTCCTATGCAGAACAGATTCCTAAAAATCAACAAGACAGACAACCTAATAGGAAAAATAAGCAAAGATGAAAGGGAATTTCCCAAATGAGGATATCTAAAAGTCCAATAAACATTAGTGCTTAACATTATCAGTTATTAGGAAAATGCAAATTGCAGCTAAAAGAAGAACCAGGACACCCCAATCAGAATGGCTAAAATGAAAAAGACTTGTAATATCCAGTGCTAGAAAGGGTGTGAAGCAACCAGAACTCTCACACTCTACTGATGCGAGTGCTACTTGTCACAGTCTGGTTGTGACACACTGGCTCACATTCTCTGCTAAAGTTGAATGTATGCGTATCGTAGGACATAGCAACACTACTCCTAGGTTTATACTCATCAGAAATGCACGCATATGTGTATCAAAGGACATACACAAGAATCTGTAATACCCCCAAAACTGGAAACACTCCACATGCTCAACAGTAGAATGGATACACGAGTTGTGGTATGTTCTCACAATGTAAATATAACACAGCAATGAAAATAAACTAATGCTACTACCTACAACACACGGATGAATCTCACCAACATAATGCGGACTTAAAGACACCAGACACAGAATAAAACATATGGTACAATTCCATTTATATAAAGCCCAAAATAGGCAAAATGCGTGTGTGATTTTAGGGTTCAAGATTGTGTTTATCTTGGGAAGGAGGTGGGAATGACCAGGGAAGGCAAGTGAGAGGAGGGGTGTCTGGATGTCGGCTATGTTCCAGTTCTTGATTTGAATGGTGATTACGTGGGTATGTTCACTTTGTGAAAATTCATGCTGATGCACAGGTATGACCTGAACCTCTTTCTGTATGTGTGTTATACTTCAATGAGAACACACCCACAAAAAAATAAATCAAAAGTAGAGGACCTGAAAGGGGAAGGCCCTATCAGTCCATGAGGCTCTGCCACAGGTTGAGGGGAGGGGGCAAAGGATGGAACACGGGAACAGGGAGCAGAACGAAGGTGATCTGGAAGGTTCTCCGCATAACTGAGCCTTATTGCTGCAGATCAGATATAAACATTTCCTTTATTTTTGTAACTAGGAGGAGGTACCGGGCTCAAACTTCACACACACACAAAATATGATAAGAAGAAACGACTAGCCATATTCTGGTTGCTCTAACAGTTTCCTTTTTCCCCAGAGATTTTTGTAGCTAGAGAGGAAGGGAAAGAAAAAACAAAACCCTCACAACCCCTCAAAGGGCAACATAAATTTAAAAGCCATGCAATCTCATTTAGTTTTTACCTCTTGATAACAAATATCCCATTTGTTTGCTTTTAAAATGAAGAAAAGGAATGCAGAACTCTCCCACAAATGCCATACGTTAAATCAACAAGAACAAAATAATAGGTCTGTTATGGAAAACAGACAAAAAGTGCAAGATGAACCAGAAGGAAAAATGAAGCGAAGGACGTAAGGACAGTAGTAGTACGAGGGGCAGTACCAGAGACACAGGTTATCAGCAACACGTTGTAATTCCAGGAGCATCAAAAGGAGCTTCCTAAGTGGTAAGCATGCAGTAGCCTTTGGGGTCATTTGCCACAAGAGGACAGGCAGGTGGCTGTTTATTGCTTACTTAGGAACAAGAGCTTATCTCAGGTTTGCACTTTCCCCACCTGACTATACCTAGCCTCATGCACACATATAACACAGATGTCGGGGTGTCTCAAGCCTCCTCCGTGGTCCTGGTCTGAAGCAGACTCCCATAAAGTGAAAAACAACAAATTGGGGCCTAACATGCACACCTCTGGTCTTGGATAATCATGTACCTGCTTGCTCTACCTGCCTTGATTAGCGTCCACCAGCGAATGCAAGTGCTTTTGCATTACTAGAGCTAGTGCTCACATTTTGGGCATGTTAAAATACAGACTGCAGGACCCTACCCCAGGGATTCTGATGGAGTAGGTTGGCAGGCACATGGGAATCTGCACTTCTGACTTGTTCCCAGCTGATGCTGTGGTCCTTAACTCATAACCTGAAAACCACCATACCAGATGTGCATTTGAAATGCCCACCGTTTCCATTTCTCTGCAGCAAGAATCTTGATACGATAGCATGAGCATTCAAAACGCTGGGGCTTTCAAAGATGAAATGTTTGGTCAAAACAGGAATAATTAGCATGAGAAGAAAAGCAAATTGCATAGTCCAATTAATTTATAAATCACTTCTCCTTAAAAACAATAAGAAAAAAAAACAAAAAAAATCATTTCTCCATGTTTTACAAAACAGCTATGCTGGTTTTAGCCATAATGTCCAGCCTGCCTGAAAAGGGGAAGTTATAGAAAAGGCTTGGAAACATCAGAGAGAGAGAGAGCAATATATACAGCATATACAGTTTTCAGAGATCTTTGCTTCCTGTGTGAATTTAATTAGTATCATTTCCCTGAGGGGCATTCAGTAAGTTTTTGTACGAGATTATAAGT